TGGAAGATCTATGTGAGCTCCGCAGATTAGAATTAATTCTAATTATATAATGATCTCTTTTAGAGTTTAAAGCAACAGACATATCACGTGATTAAGTCTTCAAAGCAGTTGCACTGAACAGTATGTAGCTGTTTCCATCAAAAAACATCATCACATATACAGTACCTAATAAATCGGGGGCACCAAGGCAATTATACCGATACCGAATCGATGGACAAGTATTAAAGATTATAGTGAAAAGCAACCAAGATAAGGCTCTCCAGGGAGCTCAACAATTTCGATCAAGATTTTTCAACGGCCTTCTTTGTCTGAGTTGATAAGCTGCACTCCTTTAATGAGATACAGCAAAGCTGTGAAGTTTCTTTTATGAGAAATGAGAAAGATTTCCCCGTTTGCATGTACGCACAAGCCACTACTCACTTCACACATCGGAACGCTTCACAAATATGCTATGCAAATTGCAAAATTTTTTTTCTGACAATGCATTATGATAGGCGTATCATACCAGCGCAGCATTCGAAAGTTAGATGATAGTACCACATCAACTTCAGTATTCTTGCAAAATTGATAAAATCGTGTCACAATCAAAATTCATTTGACACCCAATTTCATTACCCGATGAGTTAGGGCAAAGTTTCTAGCTTTCAAATGATGGGCACTTCAAAACTCTCTACAACCTTTGTATAAATGATCGTTTGGTTTTTTTCAACTAAACGTATAGGCATGCTAGGACATTCAAGAAGTCATGAAAAAATATCTGAACATGTCCATGCTTTTATTTAAGGCATATTCTCGTACAGCTATTGACAAAGAAATGCTGCCGTGGATGTTAGAAAATATTCTTCAAACTTACCACAAATAAATGAGAACCATTGTGTACACCAAAAAGATTTTGTGTGCCCAGAGTTCAACAAATAAGTTTTGAGCCCTGAATCACGGCAAGACAATGCTCATTTAGTATGACGAAGGTTATTTCCACTTACTCTGGATTTTCTTCCAATGAGCTTACAACGGTGCCAGCTTTGATATGTATGAGAGTTTTCTTACTTCCTTGTGCTCTTTCAAGCCAATGATCTATCAATCGCTCCTTTTTCTCAAGTGCGAGGAAGTGAAGACTTTCAGGCACCAATCTTAATATTTACATGTCATTATCAAAATGCTTGAAGTGACTCACATCAAACACAAGATAGCAGTAATGAGTTGCGGAATAGAAACCAAGAAGATTAACCATCTCCAGTTGGGTGAGAACATGGCTATTGGTGTGACGATGCAATATCCAACGACCCATAAGACTCCAAAATACACTGCAAATTTGAAAGATCACAAGTGAAAATATAGCAGCATTGTTGTTGAACTTTGTATTCATAGAAGCTCTCATATTTAGTATTTAGTTAGCTTCAATAATAAAATAACGAGACTACAGCAGATAGCTATATTTGAGAGTAAATAACATTCCTCGATGTTACAAGAACTCAGACAATTTCTTTTCGGTTTCTGCATCCTCCAACCATTCGAAGAACAAGTCACCTCAAAGAATGTTTGCCCTTACCAGTCTGTGCTGTTTGGGTAGTGCACGAGCATCATTGCGAATTATGTTACAGTGACAGACACACGATTATACTACTACTGGTTGGGTAAAAAGCACTGCTAATTGTTGAGAATTGTAAGATACTAAGTTACCGATAGGCTTTTTGATGCAAACTAATTCAAGGATTCCTACAGCAAATCGTAAGGTATTACGTAATCCAATATTACGCAAAGGGTGCTGAGTACAAATGATGAATGCGTGATAATTCACAGTGTCATGGTATACATAACAGAAAACTTTCGGAGAGGAACATGCCTGTAGTAAAAAACCGGAGTTTTACAGGTGTGCACTCGTAACCCAGAACCCATCCCACTAATGCGGATCCCTTAAGACATACATTTACTACTGTGTAGATTTTAGACAAATAATACCTCACTGTGTAAAAAACTCCCTGCACGAGACGAATAGCTCCGAATACCACCACCGATGGTGAAAAGGCGGCTAGCACCCCGGTGATAGCCATTATCAGAAAACAGAGAATTAGAATTGGACGTCTGCCATATCTAAATTACGAGAATTTTTTACCAGGGTATGTTAAGCAGGAAATGGTCAGAACTTAACAAAGCCATACCAAACAAGCTATACATCATCGGACTCGCCTTGAAACGCTGATCTCAAATACATATTTGGTATCTGCCAAACGACTATCTAGAATGAGTTATGAGAATTTACATGTTTTACAAAATACGTTTAACACTTATTCAGGTTTTAGATGGATGTGCTACTTCCCGTAATTAGAATACCCGTAGGTGTAAAGTGCTATCAGGCAGCTTACTTTGTTCTTGGAAACTAGGTAATTTCTCATATTTGCACGCTCGTAACTCCGTCTGAGTAGCCGTTCGGCAGATAATAAACATATATATGAAATCAGCGTTTGAAAGCGAGTCTGACCATATACACCGTGTTTGGAATGGCTGAGTTAAGTTCTGACCATTTCCTACCAAGCATTTGCTTATAATCAGAGCTCTGATTCAAGGGTTAGGTTACATTTAACCGTAAGAGTAAACCTAGATAATAGTATCTGGAAGGGAGATTTTCAATGTAGAGGGCTGGTGCGTTTTCGGCAACTTCGCCCGCAGCAAAAACAATAAACAATTGCTTGTCACTTGAACGGATGATTTCATTCGGTAAGTGATCATTAGTTTACCTATCTGCTGCCTTTGACACTAGCGTTCCACCAATCCCGTTTCCAATCATAAACGCGCTTACTGTCGCGTCTGCATACCAAGAATTCTTATGACGTAAGTCGAACTAAACATAATATTAGTTACCGTACAATCTCGAAGCCTTTAATCAACCTCATCAACGAGGGAGATCATATCTGAGCAGTTCTCGCAACTTTGTATTATGAAGGCTGTGCTCATACCGTTCATAGCAGCTACAGCCCAAGTTAGTCCAGTCACAAGTACGCAAGTGACGAGAAAAGGGTTGCGCGGACCTGAAATTAATGAGTTGACAAACAAGTTTTGCAAATTTTTGATATCTTTTCGCTCTTGAGCATGAATCACCAACATTTTGTAGTGATAACACTTTGCCTCGTACTCCCACGCCTTTTACTCTCTCTAGCAGTAGCTCCTATTCTTCTTGCTCACTAATTAGGTTTTGTGACACCTTTCGATGGAGCAAAGCATGTTTTATGAGACATTTTTAAACACTTGCCTGAAGTTTGTTTCACCACTAGTTTGCTAAGAATAAAAGTTGCTTTTTTGATTTCTTGTGCAAAGTCTGAAATTTGTCAAATAGTATTGCTCGAAACTCAAATCATGAACTTACTTTTGATGATCTATGCTATTAGGTTGGCGGATAATTTCTGTTACACTTTTTGCGAAAAATTCTCAGAAATCCTGAAAGCTTTCTACAATCTTCAAATTTGCTCCATACTTAGGACGCGTCAGGGGTTACACAACAGCATGGCTGATGCCGCAAATGCACAAATAGCAATAAGTTTACGACAACTTTGTAAGCACACTCAAAATTGCCAT